CTTTCACTTTACAGCTCAACATTTTATCTGATCATATCAAACAGCTGTCAAAAATAGAACCTTCACATCCTTGCTTCAGAGCGCTGCACAGCTCTCATTTTTTTTGTAATGTTCTTGCCAACAATAGCTTTGATCCCCCACATTGTTTTCTCTCCTGTTCTAATCCCCAGACCTTCTTCCATGCTGCTCACCATGGATGGAAAGCCCTCCCAGCCCCAGTATGTTAGGCGTCCAAACTACACTCATTCAACTCCCTAACTTCTCACAAAGTCCATTTCAGTCAACCAGAAAATGTCATTTCTTCTAGTAGGAAAGTCCACAGGGCTGAATCAAATGGTCTTCAGCCTATGTACAGCTCTGGAAGCAGAACAAGATCTTTAACATTTTTCTGACTGGCCTGGAAGAAAACACAAAATCATCCTTGATAAAGTTTGTACGTGACAAAAAATTTCAGGGAGTGATAAATAATGAAGAGGATAGGTCACGGATTCCAAGAGATCTGAATCGCTTGGTAAACTGGGCACAAACAATATTTGTTTAAATATGGTTAAATGTCAATATATACATCTAGGAATGAGGAATATAGGCCAAGCGTACAGGGCAGGGGACTATTCTGGGAAACAATGACTCTGAAAAAGATTTAGGTGTCACGGTGGATAGTTAGAGAACATGAGCTGCCAGTGCCATGCTGTGGCCAAAATGGCTAATGCGATCCAGGGATGCATAAACAAGGGAATCTTGAGTAGGAGTAGAGAGGTTATTCTTACCTCTATATTTGGCACTGGTCAGACCAATGCTGGATTAGTGTGTCCAGTTCTGGTGCCCACAATTCAAGAAGGAAGTTGATAAATTGGAGAGGGTTCAGAGAAGAGCCACAAGAATGATTAAAGGATTGGAAAACCTGCCTTATCCTGAGATACTCACAGAGCTTAATCTATTTATTTTAACAAAGTGAAAGTTATGGGGTGACTTGATCACAGTCTATAAGTACCTAGGTGGGGAACGAATATTTACTAATGGGCTCTTCAATCTAGCAGAGAAAGGTCTAATATGTTCCAGTGGCTGGAAGTTGAAGCTAGACAAATTCAGACTGGAAATAAGGGGTAAATATTTAACAGTGAACCTTGGTCTACATTTGGGGGGCGGGGAGGGGGAGGAAGAGAGGGAATCGATCTAAGTTATGCAACTTCAGCTACTTACCGTGGTGAGTCAACTGCTGCCGCTCTCCCGTCGAATCTGCCTGTGCCTCTCGCGGCGCTGGAGTACAGGAGTCGAAGGGAGAGCGCTTGGGGGTTGATTTATCGCATCTAGACTAGATGTGATAAATCGATCCCCGCTGGATTGATCGCTGCCCGCCGATCTGGCAGGTAGTGTTGTAGACATACCCTGAGAGTAGTTAGCCATTGGAACAATTTACCAAGGGTCATGGTGGATTCTCTATCACTGACAATTTTAAAATCAAGATTGGATGTTTTTCTAAAAGACCTGCTCTAGGAATTACTTTGGGGAAGTTCTCTGGCCTGTGTCAGACGAGGTGATCACAAGGGTCTCTTTTGGCCTTGGAGTCTATGAATCTGACCATCACAGGGCCCCAGCCCCAAAAGAGCCTGACAGCCTGAGATAACTTTCAAAGCAAAGGCTGTGCTTCAGTATAACAAAAAATCAGAGCAGTCAAGTGTAAAGCAATGGAGCAACTCACTTAAACTTATCTACTGCAGGGCACATAAAGACTACACCACCAATGAAACTGACCAATGAATCTGAGCCATGATCTAAAACAGGGGTCGGCAATCTTTCAGAAGTGGTGTGCCGAGTCTTCATTTATTCACTCTAATTTAAGGTTTCGCGTGCCAGTAATACATTTTAATGTTTTTAGAAGGTCTCTTTCTATACGTCTATAATATATAACTAAACTATAGTTGTATGTAAAGTAAATAAGGTTTTTAAAATGTTTAAGAAGCTTCATTTAAAATTAAATTAAAATGTAGAGCCCACCCCGGACCCGTGGCCAGGACCTGGGCAGTGTGAGTGCCACTGAAAATCAGCACGCGTGCCATAGGTTGCCTACCCCTGATCTAAAACTAAGTCATCATGAGGGGGTTGGATTTGTGGATATTCCTATCAGAAGACACGAAATTCTCAAGCTTGGATAATTTTTCCTAGTCTTCTATGTAGGAAGGTCCATAGATCACAACAACGGAATTTTATCAGCAGTGTCTCCATGGAGGGAAAGAAAAAAATAAAACTATATACAAACAATAATGACAGAGTTAATTTCTTTTCACTGGGGTACTACTACTGTATGCCATACTTTTGGCTAAACGTTGCTTTAGCTAATTTACAGACCCAATCTGTAGTGTTTTGCGAAGATGAAGGGGGATGAAAGACCAACTGGCTACTTTGCTTCTCTCCTCGTGTAAGGCATAAGATGTTTCCACCCACAAACCAAACCATCATTGCCCCTTATTCAGTGTGCCCTAATACTGGAGGACAGAATAAAACACATGGCTATGCATGCCTCTGACATGCTGCACCTAGATTTGGAAACCTCTGACAGTTTCTTGCCCTTCTCTATCAGGAGAGAAAGATTAGTGCATTTCAATTCCCCAAACTTGCAGGATGACAGAGTCCTACACACATCTAAGGCGTTACAGCACTTTTCTAACACATGCAAAAGCTGCCACCAGGCCAAGAAGGAAGGAAGAAGTTTGGAAATGCTGGCTTCCAAAAGTGAAGTGAAGGGCTCTGCAATGGGATAATCATATTAGGATATGTGGACACACTGCCTTGAGATAGAGAAGATAAGAAGCCCCCTTTGGAGTGCCTTGAGATAGAGAAGATAAGAAGCCCCCTTTGGAGACAACCTTCTAGGTAGATTTCAATGTCTCCACTTGCAATTTTGGTTTGCTGATGCATTTTTTCAGGAATTTTAGATTCTGAATAGCCTTATCCCTTCTTGAGCCGTTTGGGAACTAGAACAATGGCGTCAGAGCCAGTCCTCTCTCTGATGGAGGGACTCATTCTACTGACCTTATCTACAGGAGGTACTTGATGGTTGCTCTTATGTTGGCTCCTGTTGGTGTTGCTGGAGGTTAGGAGAACCATCAATGTGTGTTTGAGATACTTGATCAGTTCTAACAACTATTCTTCCTCAACAAAGTCAAGGACCCATTTGTCTTATAAGGAGGGAAGACAGTTCTGTGCTAACTGGAGAAGCTTACAGCTAATCTTGCTTTCATGCTGGATTGGTCTGAGTTGGAATCATGCCGATTTCTTGGCATACGCCAAGGCAGAGAAATCATCATTGCATTCCTCCCACCCCACACCATGCTATTGTTCCATGTTCTGCTGCTGTATGCACTGACTCGTTGGCTGTATGTAGAAGACAAGGAACCACAAGGAGAGTGACATGCTTTGTAGGAAGCCATGGAATCTTTATTGCTTGGCTGCAGTCTTCTTCCCCTTTTCTAATGAGTCAGCAGGATACAGAAGATGCAGAGGTCCCCATTAACATATTTAATGGTAGGACGTTTTCCAGATGAGTGAATCTTTTCCTCTCTCTTCTTTCTGGGCTTGCTCAGCATGCTTATGCACCTTGCGGAAGCAGCAGGAAGGCCTAGAAAAGCCCGTGCTCAGCTGAAGAAGCAGAACTAAACCAGGAGGCTCTCTGGTGGGGTCCCACAACTCTGCCTACGACAGACAGTTCTGGCTCTGACCCCAAAGCTGCAAGATGGCTGAAGATCAATTGCTAGGATCTGTGGACTCTCCCTCATAGAAAATATGTTGCCTAACATTATGTAAGGGCAGCAGGTTAGGGAACGAGAAAGTTAGGAAAGCTGGGGGAGGGGGCACGCAACATTGTAATCGGACATCCCTTCTGGGGATCCCACTATACCTTGTATTATCTCTATCTTTTAGATCATAGGCTTCTCACAGCAGGACTGTGCATCATGTACATCACAGATTATATCACTGACACTTTGCATGGCTGGATCTTGAGCTATAAGACAAGCATTCTTTTCCCCTGAACTGTGGGGAAAAAAATAAGTACTTTTGCAATAAAATCTTATTTTTCCTTTGACAGGATTATTGAAGGGATTGATGCCTAGGTATCTATACTGTACCTACTACTGTTGTATTAAAGAACCTAACACATATTATAAAATTGACCATAGGGGCACATAGCCAGTTTACAAATTTATGTCCTCCTTTCTCAGCCAGGATGGGGGAACCGCTGAAATGGGTCTTTTGATGGTGCTAGGCAAGTAAACTTTTTTGGGTGGGGTGGTGGGAGGAAAAATTTGCTCTCTTTAAAGGATATTGACGCATTTATTTGTTGAACACCAGGGTGCTCAGTGATGTACAATACATACAGGAAGATACACTCCCTGCTGCGTAGAGCTTAATTTAAATTAAGATGGTAAGGAATCTGTTTTAATATAGAGAAGGGATCAGAAGAAATGTTAAAACTTTTGCGGGCTGCGGGGGCAGAGCAGATCTATAAGGACTCATCTTAAACTTTTCGAGGGAAATTAAAGCAGCTCTGCTTTTAGGTTATCAGTCTGGACAATGGCTCTAAGAAAGCCTACCTTCTAGGTATGGTAATTCTTTGTAAAGCACCTTGAGATTCTTGGATACAAGGTATTGTAGAAAGGCCTAAATGAGACAGAGGGAGTACTACAGACCAAGGCTGGAGAGTTTCCCAATGATTAGCAAGTAAGCAAAACTCAGATACAAAGTCCCAGCTGATGTGGCTATACTTGCTCAGAAATGGATATCTCTGTTCGTATTCACCAAAGCCCAACACGTCTGATTTTCCCACATACAATGCTACTTGCCTTCTCCCACTCAGGAGAATGAGAAAGGACTTTCAGGCTCGAGCTTGACAAGTGCTCCAGAAAAAAGTCAGGAACCTAAGCTCAGACTCTAGTTTCCCAAAGTGTTTTAAGATTCAAACTGTTACGAAGTTTTATTGTATTTTTAAGAGACCAGTTGCATACCTGTCTAAGTGAATTCTTCTCTGGGATGATCTTCCTAGGGGGCTCGTCATTATTACAGCCTTCTCGCTCTGAGGAATTCTGTGAAAGAAAGCAAGCTTTAATTCAGTTCTTATCCCCAATATTATTCTGTGGGAGGAAAGGAAACTGAATATTTGCAAGCTACACAAGCTAGATTTTATACATACATGAAAAAGCTAGCCTCGGGTGTAAGCCAACTGGCTTGTTAGGACGAAGACAGAATTTTTCTTATTCTTGATCAATAATGCACCATTCGATAGGTATAGTGGAGAAGTTTGTGTTTGTTTAGGACTTTCCTCTAAAACTGCCAGTACTGACCACTGTTGGAGGTAGGATGCCGAGCAGGTGACTTGATGGCCTGATCTAATATACCACCGCTTATGTCCCTGAACTCCCTACAGTGACTCGTTTTCAAAAGATTCTATTTTATAAAGAGTAAACGTAACTAATAAATTTCAACTGTCCCCCTATATTCCAGTATCTTCATATTAGCAGGAATACTGGCTGATTGCACAGGAGTTTAGTGAGTTACCAACATTCAGATCTGTCTGGCCCACCTCTAAATTGTGGTGAACCAGATCATCACATTCCGTTATATCAGTGATAGCACCATTCCTGCTATGCCTCTGAGTGTCTTTTTTTTTTTGGTGTGCGCGCTCTATCTCCCACTCTCTCCAGAAAAGCCGACTAGGATCCTGCACTATTACCACCACCACCTATCTGGGACTATAGGGTGTTGAGGAGGAAGGGCGAGTCATAAGAGGCTGCTCCAGAAATGCTCCTCAGCTGATGATGGGCTCAGAAAACTAGGCTGGAGACCTCTGCCCTCTTCACACTATGGTTTAAGCTACGGATTCCTTGTCTGGGAACAGTGCTATTGCTTATCTAAGGACAGAGGCTTTCTTTGGGACACATTCAGCAAACAATTAACTGGAAAAAAAAAAAAACCATCCTGTCCACATTGGCCAGGGAAGCAATACTAAAACACAGTGGTTGCTATCACAATTTCAACAACCATGTTGATAGGCTAAGGATAGACTGTGTTGTTTGGAGGACTTCTGTACACACATCTAAAGTCAGTGTTGAACACCACAGTAGTAATAGCCTTTAGGTCACAAACCCCTGCATTCAATACCTCGGAGACTAGTCAGTTTATAAAGGCATAAGGGAAAGTTTTACTAGGGAGAGCTAGGCCAGTAACAGGAAGAGTTTCTGGCTATAGCAGATGGGATCAGGATAGGATTTTAAGGTGGAAGTTGCATCCCCTTTATGATCATCACCTCCCAGAATCCTCCTCACCCATCAGTGCTCCTAACATATCCAGATCCCCCTTAGAGCTAGCTCCCAACCCCAAATTTCAGTCACTGGCTGGAGCATCTGTCAGTCAAGGAAGAGCTGGTACACCACAAGCAGTGTGGTCGAGTGGGGACTGTAGAGAGGAAGCAGATTGCAGGAAGCCATCAGTGGAGCAGTGTGTTTGGGTGCCTGCAGCAGGTGCTGTGTGATCAGCAAGGGTCTAGGTAGGTTACAGCTTCTAGTTTCATTGAAGGAGAAGAGAGCGGGAAGACGGCAAGGACATGAGCAAAGTTTGCTGACAGATGGAAGAGAAGGAAAAAAACCTCAAGGTAAACTGGTCCTGAGGATCCGGAGTAAATCAAGATCTGCAGACAAACTACTGAGCTTTACAATCCTAAACAGGCCTGATCACTCAGTAAAACAACCCAAATCTTTGAGAAGTTTTCACACAGGGCCTCAGCTAGGAGACAGTTATTTGTTAAGTCTGGTTTAGAGAGGGCTGTGAATGCCCAGGTTAAACCTGTACAAATGTGAAAAGGAAATTAAGATGCATCTTTGCACAAACTGCTCTGTACTCATCTGCACAGTTTAATAACGCAAGTAGGGATTTCAATTTTGGTACTTCTGAAAACAGATTAATTGCTAGAGATACAGGATTTTGAAGTAATTCCAGGAACTGGTTTTCTTATCTATTTTAAAGATGCATTTTGAATATTCAATCCCCCTTCCCACAATAGCTTCAAAAATCCTATTTTTCCTCAAGTTGTATGTTTTAGAAAATGGTTATTAAAAGTGAAATCTCATCTTCCCCATGCCTCTCAAACTGCCTTTCAATGTCATTGAGGTTAAAACAATGTCAAAAGCCAGGCAATTCAATGCGGAGGTGAAAAAACAGCCTTTAGTCTGAAATTTCTTGTTATCACAACGTGTCACAAGTTTTCCAGTTTCTTTTTCTTTAAACTAAAGATCTAATTTTAAAAGCGAGCAGAAGACCTTTTTGCATTCATTATCTTTATAGGTGGCAAGGCTACGAGGTTGGCTGAACAAAGACCAGACAAAGACTGCCAAGTGCATATGGTGGTTCACAGCTTGGCGTCTCACCATTCTACAGTACCCACACAGCAGCTCCAATAGCAGACTATTAAAGAGGAGCGCTGCTCATGCACTTTTGTCGGCAAGTAAGTTACGCTTGGTGAAGACAGAATGACTGGAAAGCATTACACTTAAGAAACAAAGCACAGATGTTTCCAACTCCCGCTTATTTCTCAGGAATAGGAAAAATCACCATTCCAGGTGTACTACAAGCCTCCAAATAGTTCAGAAATAGTCATACCTGCATTCAAGTGAATTCCACTTGATAGACCAATGCCCAGTATTAGTCACCATTCAGCTTTCCAGTGGTAAAGTTAGACTAATATACCAGTGACAAGAAAACTACATCTGTACGTGTGTCTCATTGCTGAACAATGCAAGGGAAGTCTGCTCCCCTGTTTGAGGACCAGAATTTTAAGTTTGCTACAGCATGATGAGTGATGCTTCCAGCCATGAGGGAGGATGACAAAAGGCTATCAAAAAGGTGTTTTGCAATCATAGCTCTAGAATGTGGCATTTGATGCTCATATATTAAGATGGTGCATGCATCAGAAATGTCAAAGGTTTGCAGGAACTGCAACTGATGTGTAGCAAAGACAAGATGGAATCTGCTAGGGCGAAGGGGTGGGGACAGAATCAGCAAACCGAAAGGTAGGTCACGGCTGAAAACCCAAACAACTTCTTGAATTGGGGCAAATTCTGAAATCCCATTTCCTCTAAGTGTCAGTGCCTTTCTTGGCTACCATCCTTACCAAAACCAGATAGGGCAAGAGAATGCTTGTGCTGGAATGCATGGAGCATCTTCTACAAAGTAGGACTAGCTTGCGTTTTTGCATCGTTCATTGTGCAAGTCCCACAAAGCATTAAGTGGTTAAGTTTCCCATCCCCCCCACCCCTGAGATTATCACCTCTATTTACCCAGATCGAGAAGATAGAGACCACAGGTTTTACACAAGGTCACACAGAATGTCAGTGGCAATGCTGGGAATAGAAACTGGGAATCCTGATTCCCAAACCTCTGCTTTAGTCGTTAGTCCTCCCCTCTAGCCTTCTCCTCTGAGGCCCACATGAAGGGTATTTGCCTTTCATAGTTTATCTGCCCTAAAATGGTAACTGTCTATTACAAGAGACCCTTTCCAAATACAATTTAGATTTAAGACTTCAGCCTGTAACTAACAGGATATAATTCCACAGCATGTTATCATCCCAATAACCACCACAAACTTGTTTCATTATTTGACTCTCCACATGAAGTCCACACTATCTCAAACACGCCCTGTGTTATACGGCACACAGTCCGTAGGCTAAAGTGTCTGACGTGTGATGACATGCAGTATTTTCTGTATATAACCCATGAAAGCAATACTGGGATTCAGCTGTAATAGACGGATGAATGCACTCGGGCTACCAACTGCACAGGGCTACCTTTAGTACTGCCTTAATCCTCATGGTGGAAATCAGGAACCTGCCAACTGGGCAGTTCTTTTGATGGTGTGTTGCCCAACGCTAATTATAAAACAGTACAAATGCAGTCTTCTTCCACATGTGGGGAGGTGGGGCTGGGGGAGAACTGTGTGTCTATGTAAAGAGCACAACTATTTTTTATGCTTTCAAATTCTTAATCCTGTTTGGAGCTGTCAGTGGGGGTTAATGGAAGCCTTGGATAGGAGAATTCCAATCTGGTTGGCAGATGGATAGGTTGGTTATAGCTGCATAACTATGTCTTGCCTGCAGGCACAATTCAGAACACTGTTAAAGCAATATAAAGTCTCTGTCAAGCTGAACCATTTGGATCAGTAGCAAGGAGAAATAATAATAAAAAAAAAGGAGTTCATTTCTGGGCCTTGCACGTTTATGCTAGTATGCAGAAACTGATTAATTGTCATCGTGTGCTGGTCTGCTATACCTCAGATTTCTACTTCTGGAGTAGATTTTGCATGCTAATGTAATCATTCTCCCTCTTGAGACATTAGCAAATAATCAAATGAAAAACAGGATCATAATTTACTGAGATTCGGGCAATTCTCTATGCAAATTTGACTTGTTATTGCTGCTGCCTCGTTAATCTGAATGCCTTTGACAAACTCCTTTGATTTATGAACTCATGACAACTCCAATGTGTATATATTTTGCTAGATTGACATTATCATTAAGAGTGGGTGGACTGAGCTAACATGAATGGCTGATTTTATTCGCTGGTGTCTGCTGCTCAACAGCTGAGCATCTACTTCTCACAAGCCCCTGAGCGCCAGGCTCTTCCCATCTACCCAACCATTCATCATCTCGATGTTAATTGGCCCAGGCTTTAAGCAAATTTTCAACACGATTTAAAGGCACGATGACACTGATTACTGACCCTCTGCCATACGGTGCCTATTGATTAACCTGACAGAGATGATGTGCTTGAGGGAAACTAGGTGTGCGTGGACCTCAGGGGGGGAAAATGTATTGTTTATGCAGGCAAAACACTTGTCATTATCCCAAAGGCCAGAATTTGTGCAGCACTGGCCCTTAAAACAAACTATTGCTTTAATATCTGCATCCAATACAGAAAGCACTTGCTTGCTCTGCAAAAAATATTATAAATGCATTGTTATGTGCCAGTCTATATTTTAATAGAGCTCTCAGACAAATAGATCCCTTCCAATCAATTAACACTTGTTCTAGCCAAT